ATTAAGAAATTTACAAAAAAAATACCTTCCCAATTCTTGGTGAGAAAATAAGAGAGGCAGCGGCGAGCGAAGTTGGACTGTGGGAGTGAGAGAGGAGGACGAAGATTATTAGGTTAGGATTGTGTAATTTTGTTTTGTAACTTGTTTGTCCCGTAACTTTTGCCTTTTGGAATGGAGTTGCATCTTTTTTTTAAACTAAGTGGGTCGGGTCAGGTTAAATCGATTTTCTTGGAATGACCCGACCCGACCCGCATTCTTCCCCCAAAATCCAACCCAACTATAAAATTAAAAAAAATCGACCCAATCGAGTCGGTTTGGGTGGTTTAGGAGGGTTGGTTTGGGTTTTGTCCATCCCTATGTGAGGCATATTCCAGAACTGAAGCGGAATCTCATATCTTTGAGTGCACTTGACTCAAAGGATTATAGATACAGTGGTGAATGTAGAGTTTTGAAAGTGAGTCAGGTGCTCTTGTTGTCATGAAGGGACATAAAAACTCTACACAATTGTACATTTTGCATTGTTCCAAAGTAATTGGGATGCAACAATTTCTACTTCTTCTTTGATAGATGATTAAATTACAAAACTTTGACATATACGGGTGCAGCTCGGGCATATGAGTGAGAATGGAATAACAAAACTAAGTCGAAGAGGGCTTATTGATGGGTAGAAGACTAACAAAATAATTTTTTGTCAGCAATGTGTCTTTGGGAAATAGAAGAGAGTCGGATTCACGAAAGGAAGATATAACACGAAGGGAACACTTTAATATCCATTCAAGTCTTTGGGGACCCAGTTGTGGTACCATCAAAAGGAGGTCATTATTACTTGTTGATAGTGATTGATAATTTTTCCAAGAAAGTTTAGGTATTCTTCTTGAAGCAGAAGAGTGATGCGTTTGGAACCTTCAAGGAATAGAAAATATTGGTAGAAAAGCAGACCGAAAGCAGGTAAGACGTTTGCGCATAGATAATGAGCTGGACTCTTATTCAGATGAATTCAATAGTTTCTACAGGGCTAAAGGCATCTTAAGACACTTGGCAGTGCCTGAAACTCCTCAACAGAATAGTGTAGCAGAACAGATGAATAGAACTTTGATGGAAAATGTTCATTGTATACTTTCAAATTTTGGGTTGCCTAAGACCTTTTGGGCTAAAACTGCTACTGCAGCTTATTTTCTAATAATTTGCTCACCATTAGCTGCCATCGATAAAAAGACACCAAAATAGGTATGGTCTGATAAACCTTTTGATATTCTGATTTGAAAATTTTTGGTATCCTGCTTATTCTCATGTGGATAATGGGAAGTTGGAGTCTACAAAGTGCATATTTCTTGGGTATAAATCAGGTGTGAAGTAGTATAAATTAGGGTTTTCTGAGACAAGAAATGTTGTTGTTAGTAAAGATGTAGTATTTGATAAACTTGTTATGATTCGTGGTTTACCTCTAGGGATTCTGATAAAATTGAGGAGCAGAATCATTCAATTCAAGTGGAGTTGGAAATTGATTCAGATGAACAATAGAGGGTTACGAAACAGTCCATATAGATCAGTCCAGTTCGGGGTGAGAGACAGTAATATCTTGCCTACTTTACCTACACCACCAGCACCACAATATTCAATAGCTAAGAATAGACCTCGCTGACATATTAAACCTCTACAGAACTATGGGGAATCAGATTTGGTAGCTTATGTATTGAGTGTGACTGAAAACATTAATTCCATTGAGGAGTCTGCTACATATTCAGAGGCAGTCGTTGTAGTAATTCTAGCAGATGGATCATTGCTATGTAGGAGAGGATGGCATCATTGAGCAAAAACAACACTTGGGATTTAGTAAAATTGCCTAGATGTAAAAAGGTTGTTACCTGCAAATGGATGTTCAAAAGAAAAGAAGGCACGTCGGGGATTGAAGATACTAGATACAATGTTAGATCGGTGGCAAACAGCTACAGTCAGATTCCAGGTGTTGACTTCATAGATGTGTTTTTACAGTTGTAAAGCATAGTTCCATCCGGCTTTACTTGGAGTGGTGGCTAAGAATGACTTTGAGTTTGAGCAGATGGATGTCAAGACGGCATTCTTACATAGAGAACTTGAGGAGAAGATCTACATGTAACAACCAGAGGGGTTCACTGTGGGAAAGAAGATCGTGTGTGCTTATTTAAGAAGTCCTTGTATAGACTAAAGTATTCATCTAGACAATGGTATAAGATATTTGATTCATTCATGACTACTCATGGTTTCTTCAGATGTAATTATGATAGTTGTGTGTGCATCAGAAAGGAAGATAGTGGATCGATTACATATTTATTATTATATGTTGATAATATGCTCATAGCAGCCAAAGATAAAGCATATGTCAGAAAAGTAAAGTTTTAACTCAGCAATGAGTTTGATATGAAGGATTTGGGTGCAGTATAGAAGATTCTTCGTATGAAAATCTTAAGGGATAAAAAGGCTGGAAGATTGTATTTGAGTCACAAGGGGGTACATTAAGAAGGTGCTTGAAAGATTCAATATGGTGAATGCAAAGGTTGTCAGTACTCTCTTGGCTACTCACTTTAAATTATCATCTAACTTGTGTCCTCAGTCAGATGAAGACATTGATTATGTCTCCGATTCCTTATTTCAGTGCAGTTGGTTTGCTTATGTATACTACGGTTTGTACAAAACCTGATTTGGCACATGTTGTCAGCAGATATATGGTAAATCTTGGCAAGGAACATTGGAAAGCAGTGCAGTGGATATTCAGATACTTGAGGGGCTCTTCTAATGCTTGTTTGTATTTTGGTAGAAATTCAGATGGAGTGATGGTGTATGTTGATTCAGCTTATGTAGAGGATCTTGATAAAAAGGGATCACTTAAAATGTATGTGTTTACCCTTAGAGGCTGTGCTATCAGCTGAAAAACTATTTTGCAAAATACAATAACTTCGTCTACAACAGAAGTAGAATATATAGCCATTACAAAGGTATGTAAAGTAGCTATATGGCTGAGAGGATTGATTTGTGAAATCAGTGAGGACTTGCAAATATCTATAGTATTATGTGATAGTCATAGTGCAATTTTCTTGACTAAGGATCGATGTTTCGCGAGAGGACTAAACACATTGATGTGATGTATCATTTTGTACATGATGTAATTGCTCGTGGTGATATTGTAGTGAACAAAGTTGATAGATAATCATGTTGATATGATGACAAAACCACTTCTCATTCCTAAGTTTGAACATTGTTTGAATTTAGTGGGTATTTGTCATTGATTTAGTCCATTGAGACTTGTTTGGAAGATGAGGAGTTTTGTTTATTGATGGAGTCGTGAATTGGAATTCTTTGTGTTGAAATTTGGTTCAAGGTGGAGATTTGTTATGATCTGACCTAAATTTTAGTGGGTATTTGAGTGGTATTGAAGATATCAAAATTATGGACCGGAGGAACAAGTCACCGTATTTTCACTAGATTGGCGCTAGTTGGACGCTTGAGCAAGCCCGGTAAAAAAAACCCGAGACTTGGTCGATCGCCGACGTTGCACTATCTCTCGAGCAACGAGCTTATCCGGCCCAGGCTCGTTTTCGTTTTTTTATGCGGTTTTGGACTCCTTTTTTCTACAACTTGTTCTCTAGGACTTATATATATGACATGACTTGTATAGTAATTAAAAACGACAGAGAGAGATTCACACAATATCTTGAAAGTTTTAGATTTCAATTGAGTGTATTGAGATCTTGTAAACACAATTGCTATTGATTATAGTGGATTTCTCCACCTTTGACCGTGATTTTTTTCCCGTATTGGATTTCCACGTAAATCTTTGTATTTATTTTCTTCTTGTTTATTTCATTATCTTGCGATCCAAATTTATTACAGTTATCTTTGATTCTAATGAGCCATGTGGTTTTTATTCTAAGTTGTCTTGTACACATATATTAATTAGGTTTGGTGATCGGCATTTATTTTCACATATGTCAATAAGTTATAAATATTTATTTTCAATATTTTATTTGGTGACAGATTAACTTAAATAATTATTTGGCATGAAATTGAGCAGAAAATAGAGACTTTCCTATCATGTGTCAAATATTTACCCTTGACCAAACACACTGTTAACATCGAAGTTGATATACTCTTAACAGTAACGCAATTTGGTTATTTTCTGTTTGGCTTCCGGGTTGTTTTCTATATAACAGAGACCAAAGAGTGCCATTAAACAGCACTGGGAAAAGTAATTATAGCTTCTCTATTTGGACCTTTAACCTCTTAGCTAAAATATATTTGCCTCCTCCTCTTCTTCTGCTTTCAAATAAAAGTGAAACATGGTCATAAAAAATTTGTCGACGGCTATGAATGCCAAAATCATGGGATCAGGTAAAGAAACACTAGTTTTGGCACATGGGTTCGGAGCAGACCAGTCCATTTGGGACAAAATATTGCCTTATTTGGCTGATCGTTACCAAGTTGTAGTCTTCGACTGGTGTTTTTCTGGTGCGGTGAAAGATCCCGACCTCTATGATGCTGCCAAATACTCTACTTACGATGCTTTTGCTGATGACTTAATTTGTCTTTTGGAAGAGATGAAGGTGAAATCCTCAGTGTTTGTTGGACACTCCATGTCTGGTATGATTGGATGCATTACTTCAATAAAAAGACCTGATCTCTTCCACAAGCTCATACTAGTTGCAACCTCTCCTAGGTAATGGTTCAAATTATCTAATTTCCCATACATGGACAGTTGTTAAGGATATTCAGATATTATTCTCTTGTGGTAATATTAGTACTTTAGGAGGATCGAGTCTTTATATATGCTATTCTCATGTAATTTTATGGAAGTCAATTTTTTGCTCAGATCTAGCCACGGCTTAATAATCCCTTTATTGTTGGTACCTGTTCTTTCTTTAATTAGAAGTTAAACTTACCCCGTCCAGAGATGGGGAGTACAAGCTCTTTTGTCGGCCAGTTCGCCAACTTGGTTATTATTAGTGCTCTTTGCCGTTTTCATTGGAAATAAGGAGAAGAAATGAGTTAGATTTGATAAATTGAACATGAAATTGACTATGATTGTAGAAGAGTCAGCTGTCTTGTTTAATTCGTCCAATCTTGCTCACCAGATATGCCATTTAAGTTATTCTAAAGACATTTTATGGTATAGAAATTTGATCCTTGTTTCTCATGTGAGCACATTTGATCGTGCTTAAAAGCGGTCGACAGTTGCTAATTGCTATGTTGTTAAATGTCTTCAAGTAACAAATGACTTCATCGGTAACATGTAGTATTGAACTTAAATATTATTATGACAATTTTTTCCTCTACAAACAAGTTTTGCAATATACTCTCTCTCTCTCTCTTTCTCTCTCTCTCTCTCTCATCGTCGGAGGGAATGTCCGTTGACAAATTATATTCTCATTTACTTGATACCTTCTATGTCCTTTTATAACAGTTAAATCACATTTAAGAGTGGATTTTTATTTTCCACTATTCATAAGTTGGTAACATAATGCCTACCTCATATACAGGTTTATAAACTTAGAAGACTATGAAGGCGGCTTTGAACTATCAGGTGTTGAGCAGATATTCTCAAGTATTGAATCCAACTACGAGGAATGGACTTCAAGCTTTGCTGCTCTTGTAGTCGATCCAATTGATCCTGGATCTGTTGAAAAGTTTGAGAAATCTTTGAAACGATTGAGACCTGAAGTTGCACTCACCTTGTCTAAAACTGTTTTCTTGATGGATTACCGGGACATGCTTGAGAAAGTAACAACCCCGTGTTATATCATTCAAACAAGAAATGACATTGTTGTTCCAAACTCTGTGCCTAAATACATGCAGAACAAAATCAAGGGTGAAAGCAAGGTGGAGATTATCGACACCACAGGTCATTTTCCTCAATTAACTGCGCATCACGAGTTCATGGAAGTGATTGATGCATTCTTGGCAGATAAATAACAATCAACTCTTCCAGATTCTGTTTTCTTTGTCTTAAAGTTATGCAAGTTTTCTTTTTTTTATTTGTACAATTAAGCTATTTGGACATGGTGTTGATGTTGTGGATTGGAATGCATGTGATTGTTCCTTAGGTTTGCTACAGAACATCTCTAGTTTTGTTTCTTTCCTTGTTTGTTTTGGATGCATGACGTCCCCTTCTTGCATATATTAACGGTTTTAGACTGTGAGTCCCTGTTTGGGCTCCATTTTGTCAGAAACTCTATTTTTTCAAAATTCATTTTCAACCACACATTCTCCCTTAAATAACTTTATACGTAAACTCAAAAATTTTCCTTATTTTTTAACTACCACATTCTCGAAAAACTCATTATTCCAGAACACATTTTCTTCCAAAAATGGGGTCAGACATAGGCTAAATTTGAGATGACTCAATTGAATTCTGCATAGCTAAGTTAAAGTATGTCTCGAGGGCTTACAAGTGTTGATAGTCTCTCCTTATGAGGGTAAATTGTAAAGGATATAGTCAGTCACTAGTCGTGATAAATAACGTTACTCCCATCTTATAACAACAGTAATGCTATATATTCATCTTTAATTTTGATTATCTATGGGCATGTTACCCCATTATTTAATGTAGCCAATTTTGAGGGACTTAGTCTAATTAAAAGCATTACTTGGATGGTATAATTTTTTTTGGCTAAATAGTTGAAGAGATGAATTGGAACAAGTCTTCAAAGTGCTTATGTTGAAAAAGCTTTAAATGTGTCTTTATTAAGTGGAAAGGAATCTACGTTGAAACATGAAAGAAAGTATATAAATTATTGCACTTCTTTAAGATGTAATTTGGTGAAATCCCCAACTATACCCTAGGTTAGCCTTTGCTAGAAGCTAGGACCCAAAACTATAACAGTCCTGGTGGTGCCAATGAACTGGTTTGGGACTTGACCCGAGCCTACGCATTTTGCAAAGGGTGCATTAGATGATTTAAAGGAGTATTTTGGATGTATACATTGTCACGGGAAGTGTTGTCATAATTTTTAACCACAATCGGACCATCGATCCAATTAAGATCGATAAATTACAAAAATACATCCCATTCCTTTTCAAAAGTTCTTGAAATCTCCCCCTCTAGTTTATTTTTCGTAAATGATTGTCCCTATCCTTCATGGTGTGGTACTTGGCCTGAGCCTGAGCCTCTCATAGAGGGCGAGTAAGATGCTTAAGAGGTGCACTTTGGGTGTAATCATTGTCATAGGTATCTATAGAGGTGTCAATCAGGGTGGTTCGGACCGGGTCAGCCCATCAACATATGAGTCCGGTAACGGCTCGCATGAAAAAAAAGCCTGCCTGCTACGGGTTCCGGGTCGGCCCACAAATTTTGGACTACAACCCATGCCCGCCCGCTGACCCATCCGGGTCAAGCCCATGCTGGTTACGAGTCGTGGTTTGTTCCGATTTGACCCGTATTATTGTATAAATAAAATTATAAAAATATACAATTTTTCATATTTATAGCAAAAAATATTTTTTTAAAATGTAAATTAAGAATTGAA